TAATACATAAGTATTTGGGATGGTACTAAAATTAAAAGTGAAAAATATATTAAGAGGCACTGATGTTGAAATAGCCCTTTTTGTTAGAGTCTGCTTGTTTCAAGATGTTACTCATTGATACCAGTGAAATTTGTGCTGTTACTGGGTTAGGGCACTGTAATTCAAAACATACTGTTTGCCTCTTTGTCCTTCACTCAGTAATTTCTTCTGTACTCTGAAGTAACACATCAGTGAAACATCCTCATTTGTTTTTATAAATAACTGGAAAAGAGATGTGGCCCTATTACAAAATCACTTCAACTCTCCCTTCAAGATATCAACTCCTAACACTGCATTCATCTTATACTTTAGATGATTCTAAGTGTTGGTAGTAATTGCAATAAGGAGTTGCTCTGTTACATTTGCTACACCAAACTAATAATCTAACAGATGAATCTTAATTTTCGTGTTGTAATGAATTTAAAAGTGCATTTGTTGATTGCATTTTAATATGTTGTTACTGATTTTAAAAGTATTTGTGACATCTGTTACAAACACACTTAGAACATGCTTTTTCACTGCCTTTTTTTTGCATCAAAGTGCTACTTCCAAAGGCATGGAAGTGAACATTCTGTAACATATCCTTGTTTAATTTTTATATGATTTCCCCCAACTCTGATGAAAACTGATAATCATTGTTATGTACCACACTTGTCCTGTGGCTGTGCGTAGTGCTTGGTACAACAGTGACTCAATTTTTATGAGCTGTAAGGACTACTGAAATTATGGACCTGTTTTTCCTTATAGAGCTAGAGGTCTTCTTTTGGACATGGTGATGCCAAGCAGATTCATTTACCTGAGTAATAGATAATGATCTTGAAAAAGACTCAAAGTGTTCACGACTCATTGTTATTTTCCTTATTGTTATCTGGGATATTAACTTTGTTATTGTTTAGCTGGCTTTTAGCCCTTGCATTTAAGAGAATCTTTCTGTGTTTTAGAGTGTTTTGTGTCAGAATTTGATAGTTGCTACTAATCATAGTGGCTACTAATACCTCCTTGAGACTTCCTCATACATCAGGTTTTTTTACACTTGCTCCGTCTGGTAGAATATGATGCTTTCACAGAAGTGCTGCAAAGCACACCTATTACTTCCTTCAGCTATTAACAACTTACCAGAGATAATAGACTGCTCAGTCTCATCATAGACTTGGTTTTTCAAGAATTTTAAGTGGTGACACCTGTCCTCGGATGAAACCATTTTATCCCAAGACATTTGTTTACTATCACTGCTCAAGCTGTACAACTGTTTCTGATATGTATATCCTGTTTTGACAGTGGCTCAGTAATTAACCTTTATACTCCTTCTTAAGAATTTTATTTTAGAATTTGAACACCTTTTTAAACTCTTAATTTCTGTAATCGTTGAAGTTCAAGTTGGACTGAAAATGTGGAGGCCATTTTCAGCCCACTTTAACCTTTGGAGTTCTCTTCTGAGTGGTTAAGCTCCTACCCTCGATGACCTTTTATATTACAGATCTTTTCCATAAATGCTGACAATAAACTTATAAGCAGTTTTATATTTAGTTTGAGCAGGAGAAAGCCCTTGTGTTTTATTGGCCGCACTTTTCTAAAAGATACATTTTTTTTTCTCTCGGAGCCTTAGGACTGCATGTTCTACATACTATCCCTGTATATCCTCAGTCTAAATCATTATAGTGAGTCCTTAAAAGTATACATACCTGTAAGTAAGTTTAGAACAGTGTAATGCCACACACATACTTAAATGAAGTTAGATGTTTAGGGTTTGCAGTCACGTGTTTTAAAAGCATAAAGCAGCTCATGCAAGTGATATTTCTTATGGCTACCAAACTAATATGTACTTGTGGATGTTTTTAAATGTGTAGGGTGTTATTTTATTCCTTTACCTATAGTGAATAATCTTAGCTATTAACAGAAAATATAAATAGTTTATTATAACCTAGGTAAATACTCAAAGTAACCATGGAAGAGGAGAGTACCATTCTTGAAACAGAATCGTATATTTTACACTAATGATTGGTACAACATAGCATTTATATTCTTAGGCTAGTTGGTCGGTGATTCATACAGCAGAGTTTACTGAGTGCCGGACATTGTGCTAATCATGATTTTTAATTCTATTACCATTATTTCTTTGGAGAAATGTTGTATGAAAAACTTAACATTTAGTAAGAAAGGCTTACGGGTTTTTATGGTGACTAAAAATTATTTATTTATATTTACTAACTTAATATTGATGTAATTTAAGGTCTCGTTCAACCCTTGGACACTCCAGATCTCATTGGAGCCAGGGTTCAAGTTCTCATGCAAGTCGGCCACAGGAGCCACGGAACCGCAGTAGGATTTCTACTGTTATACAGCCCTTGAGGCAGAATGCAGCGGAAGTTGTGGACCTTACCGTTGATGAAGATGGTAAATTGAAGTAGTAACAGTAGAAAATTATAAAGGAATTTGATAAAAGGAAATCTTAATATGCTAGAAACTCCTTCTACTGCTTACTGGTAATGTATTAACTACAGGGAAATTGTCAGATATTTTAATCTCACGTTTTTAGTTGATATGATATCCTAGGCTTGTAAATTTACATACAATTTTTTGTGGTTATTGTTTTATTACTTGACAGCTATTTTCTAAGGAAAAAATTAGTTTTACAAGTGGTAGTTTGAGTTTAGATCAAACTAGTTAAGTTTGATTTGTAATAAGATTGTCTTTAACTTGCCGTGAAAAAATAGAAGCAGCACTTTTTATATACAAACACAAAAGCATTATAACTGAATTTTAAATGACTAATACTGGTTGTTTAAAATATCTAGCTTTACTTTTAAAAGTTACGTTATTCTTTAATATTATTGGTACCTTTTTGTGCTGCTCAGTTTTTGTGTTTTATTTTGGCTTACAGCTGTACCCAAGTAACTGAAGAAACAAAGCCAGAGTTGGAATACAGAGGTTAGGAAAAGTGGTAGAATTCATGACTATATGAATGAATACATATGTGAATTTGCCCACATATTGAATCATCTTGAGGTATTATTATATCTTAGGAATTGGTCAGTCATAATTTCCCTAAATGAAAATGGTAAACCATATTATAAGTTTGTTAGGTTTGGGAGTTAGCTATAAATTGGGCAAAGAACATATCAGGTAGATGGAAAGAGGTGGTAGGTGGAAAGAGTTAGAGGCCATATGCAATCAGCTCTTTTATGGGCTGTTTGCAGTTTGGGTGGTCGTAACTTTAAGAGTACCAATACTGAGTTGTTTATGAAGAGCTAAACAGCTGTTCGCATTTCATTCAACAATCTCTGGTTTTTGTTTTGAAACACTGTAAATTATCTGTAAGACAGTGGCAAATGTAATAGGGATTAATTAATGATTACTCAGAGTTAATTAAATACAGAGTGACTATTTTGGAAACTTTTTGTATGTGTTCCAATGTGACACCTGCTAGCCAGTAAGTAGGAGACGGCGATAGAGTATAGCCTTTTCCTCACTAGAGTAAGTTCAACCAAAGTTACACTTTACTGGGTTAAAAGTATTCCAGTGATCAGTAGATACCCTCTTCTTCCCCTAGTTTTTCTCAGTGGAAAGTTTCTCTCTTACTAAAAATAAATCTAAAACTTAAGTATATGAGGCCAGTGGTTCTCAACCAGGGGAACTTTGTTCCCCCAGGTGATAATTGGCAATGTCTGCAGACATTTTTGGTTGTCACAGTTAGGGAAGAATGCTACCAATGCCTAATGGGTAGAGAACAGTGACATTCCTAAGCATCACAATTCACAGCACACATCTCCTCCCCACCGAAGAGTTGTCTAGCCCAAAATGTTAGTATTGCCAGGATTGAGAAACCCTGGTTAAACTATTTACAAATAAACAGAAGTTCTTCCCCCCGCTTTTTATGTACAAGCAATTCGCATATACATTTGTACATAGTAGCATTGAAAGTAAAGTGTCCCATATGGACTTATAGGTACTATTTGAACCTAAGGAATTAGCTTACCATACTGCATTATTTAGAATGTCAGTCTTCTCATTCCACAGCATGTTAAGATAGCCCCTTCTTTTCAGATTTAATTGTGACTATGCTTTGGATGGATTTATTCCCATTGTTCTCCATTTTAAGCAGCCATTTTACAATTAGTTCTTTGAAAGCTAACTCACAAGTTGAGGTCTGTCTGAAATTTCTCTTACTTTGTGACAGAAAAATGTTAATTTTTATTAGAAAGCACTGATGAATATTAATAATTACAAAATTTTCTTTGGAAAACGTACAAAAAGGCATGGAAAGAAGATTAAAACAGATACTAGAAATCATATCTAAGGTTAAGTGATTACTCTCTATAAAGCATCACATGAAGTATGTGATCTCAGTTCATCCTAATGACTGTTCTATGAAGAAAATTCTGTTACTTTCCCAGTTCTGCGAATGAGGAAATGGAAAATGGTTAAGTAACTTATTCATATTCGTACTGTCAGTGGTGAAATCAGTATTGCTGTCCAGACAGTCTTACCCTGGAATCCATATTGTGTCAAAGTGTGGTTTGTAACACTGTTCTGACAACTTGTGACCATATGTATGTGCTTAGCAAGGAACTTTTACTTCCCTTTTACTCTTTTCTTCTTTGTGATAGATCAGAGAACTTATTTAGAAAGCTGCCTGAAAACTGTTATCACCTAAATTATTGGAATATGGTTATAAGTCTTAGATTTTTTAAAATGCAGTAATATTTTAGTAACATGTCAGTTTGATATTGCAGTTTAGCTTTATGAAAGCTTTCTTTACCGTATGTTTTTAGAGAGTTTGTATTTTTAAAGTTTGCTTGTTTATTAATTATCGTAAACACATTAGCTTTGATTAAAATACACCCCTTTGTCTAATTTGTTTTGAAATGCTAAGTTGACATTTTGTATTTTGTAGAACCTACTGTAGTACCTACCACTTCTGCAAGAATGGAATCACAAGCTACTAGCGCTTCCATTAACAATTCAAATCCATCTACCTCTGAGCAGGCCTCTGATACTGCTTCAGCTGTCAGCAGTAGCCAACCTTCAACAGTGTCAGAGACTTCAGCTACTCTTACAAGCAATAGTACCACTGGCACTTCTATAGGAGGTATGTAAAAAAGTTGGGGAGAAAAGACTTTTTGTCATTACTTTTGTTAGGAAAAGTATT